CAGGCTGATCGCTTCCATGCCACACCTCACTGATGCTGGAGTTTGTGCTAAAGGAGCCCCGACCAAGTATTGAGGGCATACATGAACATACTTTAAAGAATTCTGATTTTCTCAATATTTGGATTTTTTTGCACCCTCAGATTCCAGATTTTCAAATAGTTGCATCTCAGCCAAATATTGATAACAAACCACACATCAGGTACATCACATACAAAATTGTTACATACAAAATTGTCTATATTATATATTGTGTTTTTGCTTTTTTGTACATTATCTATTTTGTCTATTTTTATATTATTCTTTTTATTATCTGTGTCCTGTCTTGTCACTGTCATTCTGTTGCACTGTGGAGCTTCTGTCACTAAAACAAATTCCTTGTATGTGTAAACATACCTGGCAATAAAGCTTATTCTGATTTTGATTCTGATTCTGATCAATGGAACGTTTATTTATTTAGCTTCCAGATGATGTATAAATCTCAATTTTGAAAAATTGACCTTATGACCTGGTTTTGTGGTCCAGGTCACATACATATACAGTATATGTATAATTATTTATATTATATATATATATATATAAATAATTAAAATAATACATATTTAAAATATGTAAATATATATATGAAATCATTTTTCAGAAGTTTAAACTAATATGGTTTAAAATGGTTAAAATCTTGATGCAGCTGACCTGGATCTCCTCGATGCTGTGCACGATGAACATGTCCTGCAGATCCTCCATGGCTCCATCCATCCAGTTGTTGAAGGGCGCCGCCCTCTTGGCGAACTCCAGGTACAGCTGATCAATCGTCTCCCAGAGTTTTTCTACACGCTGCGGGATGAAAGAAAATAATCAGCTTGAGTCATATGCAAGAATCAGCTACAAATGATTTCCTTTTTTACATATATGACTGGTATTCCAGTTGCATGTTTATTATGGGCAGCTAATATTTGGCTTCACACTGTAGCAGGAGTTTGTTTGGAGTGTGTAAAGTGTTTGTGCACCTCTAGAGCGTCTCTTCTCTTCTGGGTCAGGGTTCCCAGGTTGTCCCACTGGTCACAGATGCCCTGGCAGCGGGTGTTCACTGAAGCAGCATCATGATAGTCTAACTCACTAGACAGAGAGACAAACACATCTGAGCACGTCTCAAAGCCGTAAGGAGTTCCTGCATAAATCCTGGTGTTTTAAATGTTGAACCTCATGGAAATGTCCAGGTTTACACTCCAAAATCAAAGAAGTATAACATAAACTCTCAGAAAAAAGGAACAAAAGTTGTCACCCTTTCAAAAGGTACACCTTGTACCTTATTTAACCCTAAATGTTGCATATTAGTATCTAAAGTGTACATATTAGTTCCTACATGTACATATTTGTACCTTTTGAAAAGGCACCAGCTTTTGAACCTTTTTTTCTAAGAACACATGTAGTAAGTATACTAATATGAACGTACTAGTAGCAAACTTATACCGTAAGTGCACTATTTCTATACTTCTTCAGACTAAATTGGCCTACTTTTTAGTTTTTAAAAATATACTTTTAAGTGTTCCAGTAGTGAACTTTAACATTTAATTTTTTCTTTAGTGTTGAAACTACTCCGTGAACTACAAGGGAACTTAAAATTTTACTGTTAGTTTACTGGTTATAAACATCTAGCCCTACTAGTTAATAGTTGTTTTATTATACTGGTACGTAAACACAAGCCAAGTATACTTAGAATACTTAATTATATATATATTTTAAATTCTTATATATATCTACCATATATAAGCATACATAAACATTGCTACCACAATGCAACATTTTACTTTTGAGTTTCTTTTTTGGGTAATGACAGTTACTCTCAATGCTGATTTCTACTGCTCTATTTCAAATCACACAACATACATTTTGATTTTGCAGTGAAATATTATTCCCCGGACATGTTTTTGGTAGGTTTTGTGAGGTGCACCCATGAAACTTACTTCAGCTCTTGAGCGATGGCTGCGATCTGCTCCACTCGGTCCTGATGGGCAGCCAGGTCACTCTCAAACGCCTCGTGCTTCCTCATCAGAGCCCTGATCTCCATTAGAGAGGCCGTCTCATAGTCCTTCTGAGACAGCAGCTGCTCCTTTCCTGCAAACAGAGACGTCAAATCAGAAACCTAACAATGGCTGCGCATTTCAAAACATGTGCTTGTGTGCATTCTGCCATAAAGGTGTGGTGTTGTCAGTTAGCGAAACATAGGAAGCTCAGCTCACATAGAAGTCGATTTCAAACCAAGCAGCTTTCTGTTGGTCAATGTGGCAAAATTTTGTAAATTTTCAGTAAACGCATCATCTCATTAGTCCACTTTTTTCAGCCTCATTGTGTTTATACTCACGCTCTTGCACTCTATTCTGACTCACATTTTCCAAGTTATAGATTTTAAGTAAAGAGCTGATGGATGCTTAGTGTTGATGTTGACAGCCTAACTTTGGATTTCCACAAAAATTTGCAGAACAACAGTAATCGTCACCACATATTAAGGCAGATTAGTGGCCATATGAAAACAACTGTTTTCACAACATATAAATCACACATTATTTTAATGTACAATGGTAGATGTTTCAACAGCAACTGATTATTTTTGTAAAGCTTTTGAATGTGTGAAATTAACATTTATTTTTGGCAATGGGAATCCTAAAAAATAGCTTTCTCTAGGTTTTGTTGACATCCTCGGTATGGGTTATGTTTAAAGCAGTGGGGAAATAGTAATAGTAAAATTAGTCTACTCACTAATCCACTTTTACAGCCTAGTTGTGTTTATACACATGCTATTCTAACTCAAACTTAACTTTTTAAAATTTTAAGTAAAGAGTTGCTGGAAACTTTGTGGTGGTGAGAAAAAGAGTTGCGTGACCTTGGTGTGGTTTGTTTATAGTCTATTGCTTTTTACTTCTGGCAATTGTATTTAGGCTTCAAAATTCATAAACATTGTGTTCATTTGTGTTCATTTGACCACATATTAAGGCAGATTATGGCCACATGAAAATAGCAGTGTATGCAACATAAAATCACATTTTATTGTTCAATGTTTTTTTTTGTTTTTTTTTTGTAAAGCTCTTAAAAGTGTAAAATGATCATGTATTTTTGGGAATGGGAATGCTAATGCATTATGTTTAAGCTCTTGTGTAAACTAAGTATGGTGACCTGCGGTCCAGGACTCATGCAGGGAGCATTTCTGCTTGAACTTCTCCGCCAGATGATCGAGTCTCTCCAGACGACGGATCTCGGTGAGCAGCCATTCCTCATAACCCTTCTCTACCTGCTCGAGACCTTTCCATGCGTTAGCAATATCCTGCAGACAAACAAACAGACAGTTTCTGTATCAGCTTCAATGCAACCAATTCGCAATCAATTGATCTGATTGGCTGAATTTCTAAGGAGTGCAGTTGGCTGTTCATAACGTCAAGTTACAAGTTGTGCAATTTGAGAACTATGCTTAGGACCAAAGTGCAGAAGATGCTTCAAAAGGGTCAAAAATCAACCGGAGGGGGAAACCCAACTTTTCAGATGTTTTGCACGACTTACCGACACCATCTTGCCCTCGGAGGGCATGAAGGCCGGGCGGTTGCTCAGGCGGAGTTTGGTCTGCAGGGTGTTGAAGTTGATCTCCAGCTGGCACTTCTCCTGAACGCGTGGAGGCTTGTGGACGCGCCTGTAGTCGCGGAAATCCTCCAGTTTCTGCTGCATGGCGCGCATGGTCTGCTCCGCCACGCGGTTCTCCAGCCATGGGATGGTGCGACGGATCCACTCCAACAACTACAGAGAGATGGAGGAGTTAGAGACAGAGAGATGGACTGAAGGGGCATGATGCAGGTCTTAGAGGGAACAAAATCAGGGCCTAGTGAGAAGACACCTAGACGGCCCCAATTATGCTGCCTTATACTGTGATTATGCAGTATTGTCTGCATCATTAGCACAAAAACACTGACAAGTCTCAGGTGTCCCCAGAATGTGTCTGTGAAGTTTCAGCTCAAAATACCCCACAGATCATTTATTATATCATTTTGAAAATGCCTATTTTGAGTGGAAGCAGAAACACGCCATTTTTCGTATCTGTCTCTTTAAATGCAAATAAGCTGCTGCTCCCCGCCCCCTTTTCCAGAATAGAGCTGCGCCATTACAGCTTGGACCTGCTAAAAACATCTGTTTTGGTTCTGATTATCATGTTTATCGTGCTGAAATCATGCGTTTTAAACCATATTCGTTTAAACTTCTGATATACAGTTTTCTGAGTGCACACGGACAGAAAGCGGCTGTCACAGCATGTGAGTACTAAACTAAGTTCTCATTCACACACAAGTTTACGTTAAAAACAGTCGGTTATGTCTGTGAAGGTAAACAGCTGGGAAATAAAAGTTTAATAAAATATATTTTTGAAAGATTTTTAATATATTTAGTTTCAAACTTCATATACCAAAAAAATACTTCAAAATGTATTTCAGTGGCAATACATTTCCAATCTTATAGCCCACACTTAGTATATAGCACAAACATAGTATGTTTTTAACGTTTGAGTCCTAAAACCCAGAAATGTAACATTTTATTCGTCCACATATATATATATATTCACATATTCGTATACATTTCCATCGTCCTGAAGTCAATGGTTTTTTTGAATGTTTTTTGGACACATTAAACATTATCAAGCCAAACAGCTAAACTCGTCTACTCACAGTATTCCTTATATTTATGACTGCGCTCTTGCAAATTAATGTTTAGCTTTTTACCTCTGCCAGTTGTATTTATGCTTCAAAATTCAAGTTGTGTTAATTTGTAAAGAGTATCACGATGAACAAAGCATCTAACAATCATAAACTTCTGTTGGTCACAGAGCTTATTTTCAGCAGTAATCCCACTGGCTTTTGCTGTTGACGTCTGAAAAACTCTCACCTCACTGGCCAGTTTCTCATACTCCTCCATCAGCCGTTCGTTCTCCTGGTTCACAGCCAGAACCTTACAGATCCTGTTAGCCGCGGTCTCGGCCTGGAGATACGGAGAAAACAAGCAGCTCATTTAGTGCCATAAATTCAGTTTAGAGTTAATGCGCCTGTATCCAAGTCTTCTCACTTCATTTACGCATTAATTTACTCTGCGTTACACTGGAGAGCGTCTGGAAGCTCAGTGCATTACTCAAATCAATTTCCTTCAATCATTTACACAAACTGATCCCAGTTTATACATCTTATGCCGTAATAATGAAAAAAACATTAGTTTGGGAAATTGAATCCAAATCTGATTGGATTTGTGGTGACTTTTACCTGCTCGGCACCAGCGAAAGCATGGTAAAAGCAGGACACGTAGGTCATGATGGCTTTCTCATCAGGTTTAGGGGTGTTGACGATGTCTGAGGACAAAAAGAAACCGAGTTGAGTTCAACCAAAGGCCCTTTCCAGCAGGTCTGTGGTCATCGTGACCAATTGTCTATGAAAATTCAACAATCTGTTTGTCAAGATGAGATATTTCAATAACACAACACTGCATCACAAATTTTAATCTTAAGTCATATACAGTACAGAATGTGACAAAGCAGTTTCACACAGTAAGAAACAGGAAAATAACAGTGTTAATGTTGTAAAATCATTTATCATCCATGAAACAAGTTCAGTTTCAGCTCTACAGAAGATATTAGTATCAATATTCAGCTCAGTGTTGATTCAGTTAATCAATTATGAAACACATTTAATAAATTAAAGCTGCTCTAAAGAAGACAACAGGGTCATTATTCAACTCAGTTTAGTTCAATGTTGATTCAATTCAGTTCAATAACAGTGTTATTGTCGTAGAATTCATCAATTATTAAACAAATTCAATTTCAGCTCTAAAACAGCTTCACAGAAGCCAATAGTATTGATATTAAGCTCAATATAGTTCAATGTTGATTCAATTAATTAAAATAACAGTGTCAGTGTTGCAAAGTTAATCAATTATGACTCAAATTCACACCATAATGTTGTCATTGTTCAGCTCTGTATAGTTTAGTGTTGATTCAATTCAGTTCAATTAACAGTGCTAGTGTTGTAAAATTCATCATTTGTGAAACAAATTAAATTTCAGCTCCAAAGCAGCTTTACATAAGACGACAGAATTAAAATTCAGCTCAATACAGTTCAGTGTTGATTCAATTCAGTTCAATAACAATGTTACAAAGTTGATCAATTATCAAACAAATTCAATTTAGACTCTAAAGCAGCTCAACAGAACACACGCATATCGTTATTCAACTCAATTCGGTTCAGTGTTAATTTAGTTCAGTTGAATAACAGTACTGATGTTTGAAGTTAGTTTCATCATTATCCACCTCAGTTCAGTTCATATTTTGCTCTCATCCAATATTATCAGTGCAGTTGAAATGATAATATTACTGAATATTAATTGTAGTGCTGTCAAATGATTAATCGCGATTAATCGCATCCAAAATAAAAGTTTTTGTTTGCATAATATATGTGTGTGTGCTGTGTATATTTATTATGTATATACAAATACACACACATGCATGTATATATTTCAGAAAAATATGTTATGTTTATATATTAAATATATTTATTTATAATATAAATTATATGAATATAAATAAATACAGACGTAAATACATGTAAATATTTTCAAAATATATACTGTATGTATGTGTATTTATATATACATAATAAAAATACACAGAACACACACACATATATTATGCAAACAAAAACGTTTATTTTGGATGCGATTAATCGTGATTAATCGTTTGACAGCACTAATTAATTGTCGTTTAAAGACCAACTAAGCAGGCCAAAGGCAAGCTCAAGTTTTACGTCCAAATTAGATGAAAACTCTGGTCCAGCTATGTGCATTAAACTCAAAAAGATGACTGGCTCTTTTAAATGAAAGGTGATGTTAATCTCATATTGTGTGTTACAGGATCTCCTCCTGATGAACTGGATTGATTTGACTCACCTTCAGCGTCCAGCATCTTCGGGATGTCCAGGTACTTCTCTGCCACCTCAAACGCAGTGTTCAGGTTTCCAATAGGGTCATCCTTCAGAGGACCGACAATTAAAAAAAAAAAAAAAAAAAAAAGGAA